TATATATATATATATATATATATATATATATATATATATATATATATATATATATATATACATATTAAAGTAGTTGTAGTAGAGAGGCTCATGATATTTTGCTTAACATGATTAACTTATTATTATTGTTGTTTTGTTAGGTAGAACAATGATATGATTTTTTTATTTCTTTTTCAGTTGATAAAATATTATGGATAAAAGTTAAATTTATAATGATAATTATTATGACTTGGGCTTGATAGGCTAACTAGCTTATCAACTTCGTTTGGTCTAAACCACTGACCAAAATACTTAAGCTGAAGTTGATAGTAGTACACTTATCAAACCCTTCCCTTATAAGTCAATCTTAATCTTGCCCACTTTCGATGTGGGACTAATCATGGGTGTTACAATATCACCCACACTGAAAGGCTTGACGTCCTCGTCAAACCCTAGCATAGTGCATGTGAGGCGTAGCCCAGTGGTGGCTCCACACTGTGACGAGTCCTCTGACTCCGTCTACGGGTAGCCCTTTGCTACTCGAGCCCCCCTCAATATTATGACTCGGGCCTGATAGGCTAACTGGCCTATCAACTTCGTTTGGTCTAAACCACTGACCAAAATGCTTAAGCTAAAGTTGATAGTAGTATACTCATCAGACCCTTATAAGTCAATCTTAATCTTGCCCACTTTCGATGTGGGACTAATCAGGGGTGTTACAATAATAGAGTTAATAATGAGAAAAATTTCATGTTCATGCAAATTATGTTATATTTCTTGCTATATGAATCGTAAAACTATGGATTTTTAATAGGGTATACTAATTAAATTTGTGATGGAGAATTTGATCCAACTTACGAATTACTGTATGAAATTCACATTGAAGATTTTATTGGATTCAAGTAAAGAATTATACCTAAGCTGCTTATATTTTAGTAAGTTTTTCTTCATTATACATCTTTTTTATATAAAGTGTTGGTGAAATAATAAGTCATTCAATGCATTTCTTATTGCATTACCATCTGGAGTTGTATTGTCCAAGTTAGCTTACAAAACTAAAAGGTTACTTGGAGAATTAAATGTTGGGTATACAAAATTCATGCATGCCATAATAACTGCATATTATAAGTATGCTACAAATCTACATACAAATTTAATGACAGACATGTAAGTAATAGATGAAGCAATAAAGTTATCTGTTGTTTTTCATTAATTTCAAGACTCCAAAGTTTGTTTATATGAGATAACATGAAGAAGGTGATGAGAAATATAACCTTCTAAGATACTCTGCAGACTCTATGGCTTGGAGAAATTTTAAATATTAATATCCACACTTTGTCTCTGATTCATAATAATAATGTTTGGCTTGGATTAGTAGTTGATGGTTTCAATCCATATAGAATAATGAGCATAACATATAGGATATGGCCAGTTGTTTCAGTCATATATAATTTGCCTCCAAGGATGTGTATAAAGCAAACTTTCTTGATTTTATCAATGCTTTTATTCCCAGACCACTGGGACTTGGAAATGATATTGATGCATATTTGATGCCCTTAATTGAATAGGTGAAAAAATCATGGGAGAATGATATTGATCCATATGATGCATTGAGCAAAGAAATCTTGATGTTTCTGCATATTTTGGGTAACTTATCTAAGTGGTACACTAAAGATAAATCAGCTTGTTTTTACTGAAACTTTAACACTTGTTCAAAATGATGGAAACATGGTGGAAAGTATTGTTATATGTTTTGATACAATAGACACTCTCTCATTAAATACAAGAATTGAGATAAGCTCATGTTCAACCATTTGGCACAATAATTTTGGACCAACTTGAGGGGAAATTTTTTATTTAAAAAATATATTTTTTAAAAAGAAAAACAGATGTGATGTATATTGAAAAAGATATAATAATACCTTGCACCATAATCTTGATGTGTTGTATATTGAATAAAATATATGCTATAATGTGCTTAGAACATTGTTGAATCTTGATAGTAAAATAAAAGACAATCTAAAGACATGGCATGATCTTCAATAAATGAGAATAAGACATTAACTTCACCCACAATAATGTGATTTAAATAAAATATATTTATCACATGCTTGCCTCTCAATGTCAACATGAGAAAAGGATATCTTTTGTGAAGTATTAGAGGGAATCAAAGTTCTAGATTGCTATTCTTCCAACATATTTCATTGATGAAAAATTTTAGGACTCAAGAGTTATGTTTATCGTATATTGATTATCGTACATTGATGCAAAATCTTTTACCAATAATATGACGAGGTGTTTTGCCTAAAGAAAAAGTAAGATCAATCATCATTAAATTATGTGGATTTTCAAATATTGTATTCTATGGTTCTTAATATTAATGAGCTAGAGAAACTATAATTTTGAATTACGATTACTCTATGTGATATAGAAAGAATATTTTCACTATTTTTTTATAATTATAGTATACTTGGTTATTCATTTGAGAGAAGAGATAAAAATTGTTGGATCAGTGCATGATTATTAGATATACCCAATTGAGAGGTAAGAAAATAATTATATATTATTTATCTATTAATAATTTAATATATAATTTGATTTATACTAATATATTCAATTATATTAATAGGTATCTTTGCACATTAATTATATATTGTTATAATATTGGACCATCTCCTTTAGATTTTGTAGTATCCAAATCTCATTGTTTAAGATCTATAACCGTAGAAAAAGATTAAAAAACTTAATAATTAAAAAAATAAACAAATACTCAAGATATGAAAGAAATGTGAAGTCAATTGCAAATACTTTTAGATGAAAGAGCTTCTTGAATAGATGATATAGGTAAAATTAAAAGAAATTATAATGAGTTCTTATTTATGTATCTAATAAATAATATTCACTCTTAGTATGCGTCCGACTTTGATAGAAGTTCTAGGAAGCATATCTTTTGTAATTTTTTTGAAATTTTGCTACTCAAAACTTGGAAAAGAAATATTATTTGTTTGTATTTATATATGAAATTGGATGTACTTGAATTCTGATGCTATGGTTTTTGTATAATTTGATATGGTTAATGGAAGAATATTATCTTTGTTTTGCGAATTGTGTGTGTGTGTGTGTGTGTGTGTGTGTGTGTGTGTGTGTGTGTGTGTGTGTGTGTGTGTGTGTGTGTGTGTGTGTGTGTGTGTGTGTGTGTGTGTGTGTGTGATGATGATGATGATGATGATGATGATGATGCCTGATGAATCATTTTCTTGTAGGCAGGTGATAGGAAAGAATAGATGTAATAAGAAATGCAAGAACACCACAAGCGACTTCAAAGATGTTCAAGCACACACATTAGAGTTGCATACAAAGAAAGGCTTTAGACGCACTCGATGGATTTGCGATCCTCATTTTTTGAAAGCAATCATTGACATGGTTGAAGAAACCTAATTTCATCATCATCAGCATCGGCTACTGCACAACTCAGTACCGGATGAAGGTCCCGAGTGGAGAATGGGTTATAAAGCTCGCCCTTTCACGATATCAATGCTCATCTCACTAGGTTCCGTGGCCTGCAACTCCACTTGTATGCCATCAAGCTCCCTCTTGAATCTGTCCTTGGAACTGGCATACAGCATCTTGCTCCTCACCTTTGATGCATCAGGAGCCCTGCATGCAAGCGAAGAAAAGTATACAGCTCCCGAGTCAGCAACCTGCAGGCAGATCCATGGAGCGCGGTCGTTGGTGATCCTTGTTCTGTGCACTTCCTTACCAAGAAATGAAGAAGATCTTGCTCTTCTGGCAGTTCTCGTCGGTGACGAAGTCGAAATCGAAGACGGCATAGCGGCACTCGTTGGGTGGCAGGGATGCGGTGAGATCGTCGTAGCTATCATCGGGCTGGCCGAGCTTCTCCACCGTCACCTGCTGCAGCTTCTCGTTGATCTTGAAGACGATGAAGCGGAAGTTCCTCTTGGCCTTCAGCTCCAGGAACTTGAGCTTGCACTCATCATGCACCGCCATTCCCGACGCCGAGTTCGCCTTGCCAAAGCACAATGCATATCATTAACCATCATCCCATACAATGAAGAGACATCTCTGAACGTGCACGAGCTGTTTGTGATGGAAAGTTCGACCCATGCATGGAGTAGTCGCGAGACAGAGAGAGAGAGAGAGACTCCTTACCATGCTTTCTTCGCGGTGAATGGGAAAAGAAAGGAGAAGGGGTGACGGGGGAAGGGAGGAAGCAGGGATGCATAGGGAGAGGAGGACTTAATGATGTTTGTGCGTGCGGGAGGAAAAGGTGGGAAGGAGAGATTGGACGGAGGGGAACGAAGGTGAGGCAGCAGCTCAAGGAGCGTCCACAAAGGGCCTACATTTTGACCTGGTCAACCATCCATTATTAGGAGAAGCCATATGTTATTTGGGCTATTATTCTCCTTCACCAACTCAGCTTTTCAAATTTATTTCATCTAAGATTTATTAATTAATATCCCAAATAAGTTATAAAGCTAAATTTATGGTGTGATGCACAAAATTATCATGATAAGAATTTTGGATAAATACAATATTAAATTTAAACATTTCATGGTGCATTTTTTGGTGCAATAAATTGAATTCTTATTAGAAGAACCAATTACTTTGTTTTTGTTTTTGTTTTTATGAAATTAATCGATGCATACTTGACTAATTAATGACTTGACTTCATTGATAGTAATATATAACTCCTATTCCTTGATGGTAAAAATTGCTAGATAAAGGTAATTTCTTTTACGCAAAAAAAAAATGCAAACTTAATGTTTCATATGAATTTCATTATCTTCCATATTAATCGATTAATATTTATATTATATTATATTCATTATCTTGTGATAAAACTTAGTTGATTAGTTCTAAGACTTAGATCTAATCCACCACAGTTTGGCTAGAATTTTGTGATGACTCAGCCCTGATACAAGAACTAAGATTTGTCATAGTCTAAATCAGGTCCAAATCAAACATGTCTGGATCATGTTCCAATTATATAACCTTTATAACGACCTGCATTATTGCAACAATTATTGTTCAAGCCTCATTGTGCTTTCAGGGGCCAACCCAGACAATTATTATTCAAGCCTCATTGCAACAACAATTAT